TATGCATGATATGAAATGGAATTTTATTTAGGCAAGAGGTGTGCTAATGTGTACAAAGAAAAAAAAAAACACAGTGATTCCTGGTGGCAAACCAAATAAAACCAGAGTAATCTGCTGAAAGGTTATTCGTGCCCATGGAAACAGTGGCATGGTTCAAGCCAAATTCCAAAGCAATCTTCCTGCTAAGGCCATTAGATACAGAATCCATGTGATGCTGTACCCCTCAAGGATTTACAGTAATGGAAAGTAAATGAATAAAAACAGATTTGTGATCTTGTTTTTTTTTCCCCCTTATTTATTTATTATCATCATAAACTTGTTTATATTACATTGACTCACATATAACTTTACAGTGTATTACATTTCTTTTTCCAGAAGGAATACCGTGCATATCAGTCAATACAGAGACATTAAAATCCCCATTTCATCATCCAATAGCTTAACCTTTCATATTAATAAAAATACTTGCATAGATTTTATTATTAACAAATATATCACAAATAGATAAGAATTTAAAAGCTGTATTCTAGACCTCTGAGGAGATGCAGTCAGATTTCTGAACTGTCTTGGCAAGTGATAATTAACTCAAAACTATGAATAACTGTCCTTTGATTTCCAGTCCAGCTAGAATTGGTCAACACAGGATAAGTAGATCCGGAGAGACACCATGCTTTCATTTGTTTCATTTCTGGCCCCTTCAGAGTTCTCAAGTATTTTGATGTTGAGTCCTTCTCCCAAACCATCCAGGCCTTTTTATGATGATGATGATCTTTTCCAGCCATTTATGCAGTTTTGGTACATAAATGGCCCTTTGGGCATGCCTGCTCAAAATCCTGGGAGGATAGTGGAGAAGGGATTGCCCACCACCTTCCCCCTGGAGGGTGATTTCTCACTTTCCCTCTTACTGTCTCTCTCCAGCAAGCACACATCCCCCATGGCAAAATCTTTAAAAACAAACAAACAAAACCCAAAACTGTTGTTGCCTTGTCATTGTTTAAATGAATTGTTTTTTGTTTGGGGAGCACACATACCCTATGACAAGAACCAATTAATCAATAAATCAATAAATAAATTCTTTATCATTAAATGTGATATTTAAATGTTTTGATTGAAAATACAAACTTATTTAGAAATCAGTTTGGTGTGATGCTAGTGATAAAATTCTTATTTTGGAGTATACTGCTGAACTGTCTATATTCTCAGATTGCATGTCTGGGATGAATTTTGGGGAAAATTCACATTGTTCTTTGATTAAAACAAATAAGATCCTTGAAATTCCTAGGCAGGCTACCTGCGAAACCTGTAACCAGGCATGAGCCATTTTGACAGACACAGTAGTCTCTAAGTGTGTGTTTTCAAAGAGTCCTGGGTGGGTCCTGGTTTGTGCTTATGGCAGAAACAGTGAGTAACTGGGAGGAAGGGGATGAGTAAGATTCAGGGAAGTCATTTTTGGCACTCTAGTTCTTGATTTTTTTAAAAGCATTATCAAATGGTGCATTTTTTTTTCTTGCCAAGTGATCACAGATATAGTCTGATGAGCCTGACATGAATGTTTATATATTATCTTTTTAAAAAAATTTGCCAGAGGGAGCATGTGCTTGCCAGAGAGATACAGGAAGTGAGAAAGCACCCTCCCTCATGGGGAAAGGTCACACCACTATCCCTTTTCCTCCATTTCTTCTCTTAGGACTTTGGGCACACGTGTAGATACACCTGACCTGTTTTCTAAGACACCAGGTCCAAGACTTGAACCACATAGTTGGCCATGTGGTATCCTGCCACCTTAACCACTATGCCAAGGGCTGATCTCATTGTATTATCTTATAAGATCTAGTAAGGTCTATCTTTTCCCAAAACTTTAGGTAAATTTCAGTTTTTAAAAAATTAGCTAGAGGGTATGTGCACATTCTGGAGAGAGACACAGGTGCAGAAGGGTGAGAAAGAACTCCCCATGGGGGATGATCATGCCATAATCTCTTCCAATTCTCTTTTAGGGACTTTGGGCATGCATGCATAAGCTTCTGGGTCTGGAATTCAAACCGGATAGTCTACCATATGGGATCCAGCCACCTTAGCCACTACACCACTGACTGGCCCAGTTTATAAAATTTATAGTAGCAATATTTGTGGAAAATATTCTTGGAATCCTCCAGTAGGTGACCCATGTCCCATTTCCATCTTTTTTGTAGTAAATGTGTTCTGATGAAACATGATATGAATGTTTACTAGGTATAGTAACATTTAATCCAAGAGGACCTGGCATAGTCATTTCCCCTAAGAATAGAAATTTTCATGCTGATGAAAGTAATACATGGGGGCCAGGAGGGCACATGGTGATTAAGGCACTTGACTACCATATGGCCAACTGAGGTTCAAGTCCCAGACCTGGCAGCTTGCTTTCTCACTTTCCCTCTTGCTCTGGTTCTAGCTGGCAAATTAGAAAAAATAATAATAATCTTAAATAAAAAATAAATCTTTAAAAATGAAAGTAATACTCGTATGTTTAAAAAGAAATCAATATTGACTTTTGCCCACTGCTGACCATAGTGCACTCACCTGGTCATGCCTGGGGGATACCGTGAAAATGTTCATGGCTGAACCCCTGGCCATGTTAAGTTCTTCAGAGCTAAAGTGGTAGGTACACAGGTACTATGGGTTGGCCTGACGGTACATAACGTTCCATCCAGGTATTGAGAAGTCGAGATACAGCTTTTGGGACTAAAAGATAGGCCACAGTGCCAGCCCATGGCATGGTGGTTAAGGCAGCTGGATCCTCCATGGCCAACTGTGCAGTTCAAGTCCCGGACTTGGAGGCTTGGGAAACACTCCAGGTGTATGTGTATGTTTCTGCCGAAAATCCCAAAAGAGAGGAGAAATGGAGAAGAAGGAATTGTAGCATGACTGTCTCCCGTGGTATGTACTTTCTCACTTTCTGTCTCTGTCTCTCCAGTGGGTGCACCTGCTCTCTGGCAAATGAAAAGAAACAGACAGCATAACCTTTACATTTCTGAACAGTACATACTTCAAAATATAACTACTGTTAAATGAATCTTAAATATGTATTTTTAAAATTTAAGTCAGACTACTTGCTTTAACACAATGCTAACAAAGAGGAAATGCTTAGTAGGTGTTAACTGATAATATTTTTAAAAATGTATCTATTTTCTTCCTTCCTTTATCCCTTCGTCCTTCCTTTTATTTTTCTGTATTCTAATTTTTGTTTGAATATTTTAATTGAATCCCTTTACATTTCTCAATTATTATTTTTTTTTTGGAGAGGTTTTCGCTATAGGGCGCGTGCACTCGCCAGACAGAGAGACATAGAGACAGAAAGCGAGAAATCACCCCCTAGAGGGGATGGTCACACCGCAATCCCTTCTCCTCCATTCTCCTCTCGGGATCTTGGGCATGCATGCACATGCACCCGGTGTGAATTTTAAGCCACCAGGTCCGGGACCCGAACCGCGGGCGACTACATGGGAGTCCAGTGACATAGCCATTACGCTAACTGCTGGTTCCCTACATTTCTCAATTTTTAATGTGTGTATAAAAACATGCACTGTCTAAGATAATTTATAAGAAAGACAATTGCCTTTTTTTTTTGGTGGGGGGATGTTTGCTATAGGGCTCACCAGAAAGAGAAAGAGACAGAAAGTGAGAAATCATCCCTCAGGGGGGATGGCCATGTTACAATCCCTTCTCCTCCATTCTCCTCTCGGGATCTTGGGCATGCACGCACACATGCCTGGCGTGAGTTTAAGCCACCCGGTCTGAGACTCGAACTGCGGTTGACTACATGGGAATCCAGTGACATAGCCATTATGCCAACTGCTGACCCCGACAATTGCCTTTTATTAATGCCAGAAGATAAACTAGAGAGAAAATACTCCCTAACCTGGCCCAGTTATGGGTACAAAAATTTTTCCTCCAATTTTCCATTTTTCCATTTTTTTCAGGATTCTACGCATATCACTTGTGTGCTTAGAGTGTTTTTCAAGTCACTAGGGCCTGGGATTTGAAACTTAGTCAGTCATGTGGGATTTGGTTTCCTCTATGCAGTGCTCAATCACTGTGCTCTAAGGCCAGCCTTGCTGAGTTTTTTTTAAAAATGTGCCATTTGCTCATTGAAAAAAATTTGGAATAAAGTATAAAGATCTCAATAAGATCTATTTTAACTCCCCTCCCAAAGATAATAGCTTTTAAGATTTTTTTGTATTCTTTTTTTCCCTTTGTGTGTAGATCCATACGTAATATTTATAAACCTGTTACCATAGTACATTTTACCACCAAAAGTACCACATCACCACTATGAAACATTTTTTATGTCAGGGGCTGGGCATGTCAAGACAACCAACATGTGGTCCTTCTCAAACAATCTTGGAGTATCTTCTATGAAGATACCCCATGATTTGATTTTGACAAATCTCAGACATGTAGGAGTTTCTGTTTTTAAAAGATCACTTAGCTTTTTTTGTTTTGTTTTTGTTTTTACCACTGTGAGAGAGAGGCAATTATTTGGGTTTGGGATAGGGACAGCAATTTTTCTTTTTCAGTATGATATTTTAACTTGTTAGGTTATAGTATATTAAATTTTTTACTAAATTTTTGAACATACTTAAAAGTGGAAAGAGTAGTATAATGAATCTCCTTATACTATTTATTTATGTTTAGAAATATCAAGATTTTGCCACATTTGCCTTAGTTCCTTAAAATTGTTCTTTTTCTCTTGACAACTTTAGGAAATTCCTCTTCTTGTCATTTTACTTCTATGTTTTGCACTATTCATCTCTAATACATAAAATTATTTTTCTTTTTTTTTCATTTTAGCAGCTCTTAGAAAGAACTGTATATAAGATTATTTTACTCCCGCATCTTCTCAGTTGTTTCTTCCTTATATTTGCCCTTTTCCTTTCCTACTTGGCGAGACTTGGCTTTTCGTTCAAGGATCTTTTTGCAGTCTCAGTCCAGTTTTAGTCTAGTGATAACCTAACCACCTTGCTAGGGTGAATGCTCACATGGACAATTGTGCCCTTCGCCTTTTCCTGCTGCACCCGTTCAATATAGATGACGTATTTCTTCCTATAAACTTGGACTACTTTGCCAATTTGCTGATCTTTATAGTGTCCCTGCACAACCTGAACTTCATCATCCTTTTGGATGGGCATAGATTGCACATTGTACTTCTGCCTCAGCCCTTTCAAAAGGGGGAAAGACATAATCTTCCTGTGGATGTGGGAAGGTGCATTCAAATGCCTTTTACGGTTCTTGCTTCAATCAGAAGTCACAAAAGGATTGAACTTCATTTTGGCCGCTACCACTCCGGCGATGCCACAAAAGACAAAGGTCTATGCGTTGCTTCCGATTCTGTATGTTTACCTGTAAGATTATTTTTTTATATAATTTATTACCATCTATACAAAGTTCTTGATATTATTTCATACCTAAATTTCTCTAATAAACTAAGGGTTTTTTAAACAGCTAAGTTTTCCTGTAATGCTGTCATTGAAATGGCTATATTTCTTTTTCAGATTAGTGATGATGAACCAGGTTATGACCTAGATTTATTTTGTATTCCTAATCATTATGCCCAGGATTTGGAAAGGGTGTTTATTCCTCATGGACTAATTATGGACAGGTTAGTAAGAACTTAAATTGAAACTTAAAATTTTTTCTTACATTAATTTCAAATGTCTGTGTCTGTTTTGATTACT